AAGAGGTGTGTCCTGTCTGTTCATCTTTTTGTTAGACCGAATAAGTTCTTTAATGGTAAACTAACTCAAACTAGAGTAGATTTTACTAGGCTATAAAGAGAATAACCTTCCTTTAACATGGCTGATGCAGAATTGTGTCTGGGTTTTTGAATGTTCAGTTACATGGTTGCTTCCCTGTTTCTGCTGGAACAATTATTTTGGCTATGTGCTAGGATTGCTTTTTCGTAGCTCTGTCGCCTTAGCTTGTTCAGCTATTCTCTGATCAGCTTATGCACTACAGTCTTTTTACTATGAAGTTAAAACGATATGCTTCTTAAAGTATCTCTTAAGTTTTGTATGGAAAATGCGTTGATCTTTCTTCAGATATAGATGCTCTAGTTGGAGGAGAAGTTGGAGGCCTTGAATTTGGGAAGTTACCGTTTGGTGCCTGTGAGGATCCGATTAGGTAAGATAAGAGTTCAAAAAACTGAATTTTATAACTTGCCTAATGGAGGACTTAAAGGTATGTTATTTTAAATCTTAGCTTTGTCTGCCTGTCACCTACTATGTTGATAACGGAAGGTTTCATAATTTGAGTATATAAAACGTATCGGCAAAAAGCAATATTCTAATAGCAAATAATGCTACCGTTCACAAAATTGTGTTTTGATGTTCAGAATTTTAGCTTATAAAATGCTTCACCATAAACTTTGTGTTCTGTTCATCTGAAGCCATTATGCTGAAATATACCTTAACTGGAGATAAAGTTTTAAAATGATGTGCCTTTATTCAAGGATTGGACTTGCTCTCTTCTTTTTATTGTGACATTTGTAGAAGACTTAAATTGAGAGGTTCTGTAAACTGAATTATTATAATACCTCTTATATCCTCTTCTGAAAACCCTGTCACCACTTGGCAAATCCGAGAAGCGCTTAATGCGTTAGACAATGTTAAATGTTGTAGGCAATTTTTGAAAGCTTATTGTTCTTTCCTGTGTACTTGAATACCTAGAATGTGGTGCCCAATCTCTCCTTTTGTGGAGAGGAGTTACGAAAGGATCCTGTATGCTGGATACCAGTAAAGTTTAGTGCCATGCTGTAGAATAACTAGTAAAATGTCTTCAGCAAAAAGAAGCTCATTGAAAACATGCAGATTTCCTTAAGTTCTTGTTAGAGAAATATGTTTCAGTCATCCACTTTCTCCAAAATCCTCTCCCCTGAAAGAAAAAAACCCTACCCTGAAGAAAGACACCTTGCTTCAAAATCTGACAAAAGTGTATGAGTTTGAAGTAAAGATTGTCTAGATAGCAATGTGTTTTTGATAACCTTAGAGTTTGATTCTGTGGTTCATGTGACTTAGCTGCCAAATACATAGTGGGAATTAAAATGGACTGCTAGTATGACTTTCAAAATCTTAACTGCAACGGAGAGCACATTTTTAGTAGCGCTCAGAAGTTTAAATCTCATTTGTTTCAGTGAGCTCCATTTAGCTACCACATGGCCTCACCTAACGGAAGGTATAATCGTCGACAACGATGTTTATTCGTAAGTATTTTATCTGAATTGTAAATAGCTAGAAATCTACTTTCTTCATTTGTTAACTGTCCTACTTAAGTGACATCTAGAACTTAAAGGATTTGTTTGTAAGGGAACCTGCTTTGAGGAGTGCTGAGGTCAGTTGATAGAACGTCTAATTTGGGAAGGCTTCTTCTTCAGAAATGAAGCTTCTTCAGAAGAAGCTTCTTCAGAAATGCATTTCTGTGTGAGCCAACGCTATCATATCGTGATCTCAACGTGGAACACGTGCCACCATCTTTGGGCATATGCTCAGGCTAAACTTAGGAGTTTTGTGTATTGCATATTTCTTGACAAAGATGGTAGCAAAAGATAGACTGGGGAAAGCAAAAAGAATTCACTGATTGCTGTCCCTCCCCCAAAGAGTGTCATCCATACTTTCTGCTATGCTTCCTAAAGATGATGAACAGTGTGTACTGATCTCTGAAAATTTAAAAGAAAAAAAATTGTAGTTGTTGTCTTATTAATGCAGAAATGAGTTTGTAACATTAATGAAAATTAGGAGGACAATTTTACTTTAAATATTTAACTTGGAGTTGTTCTTGTGTGTTTCTTATGTATGTACGTGAAATGGGGACTCCTGCTTACCTTTGAGAATACTGTTTGTCATATTCTTCTGTATAATGTGACCTATGTTATGACTTTTAGCCTAGCTAGCTATGACAGTCCAGTTATTAAGAATTTGATACTCATCTCTTTCATCCTCTCATCATCAGTATTTTATTTTATTTGTCCCTGTCACTTTTTATTTTATTTTTTTAAGTGACCTTGATCCTATCCAAGCACCCCAGTGGTCTGTGAGAGTCAGAAAAGCAGATAATCCTCAGTGTCTGTTGGGTAAGACAGCAGAATTCTTTATCTTCTCTTATGGCTCTTAAGCTGTCAAGATGTGAAGTTAGGGTTGAATGGTTGATTACCTGATGACCTCTCTGTCCTGATGCCCCTCATTTCTTTGTCTGAGTGGACTATATTTTGGGTCTCTTTTTTCAAGAACATAAGATTTGCAAACCTTTTATTGTTGGTTATACTATATCTATGTACCATCAGCTTCAGCGATCTACCTCACTAGGTTCCAGAGAATATGCAATTATTCTGTGTGGCTCTATAAAGAACTACACTTCCTAAAATCTTAAGATACTATTCAAGCCTTTCTACCTATATCTATTTCCTTAGTTGAACCTTCCTTAGTTCCACCTATCCGTGACGGTCACGGAAGGTGTATAGGCCTGGAGAGCTGTACTGTTCTCAGTCCTGGTCTTCTAGCTTGTGGGGAAAAAGGGCTTCAAAATTAAGAAACCACAACATACTGGTGAGGTTTCAACTCACAGTGAGGGAAGAAGTGGGTTACACTGCATGAAGAACTGTGCTCTGTAGGGGTGGCTGATAGTTCTCTAGCTGTGCACTTTCCTAAGCTTTAATTATGTGGTTTAGGATGTTGGGGCTTCAGAGCAAATTATCATGTTCTTTCAGATTAAAAGATGAAATGACTGGCCCATTTGCTGTCCCTTAAGAATCACTTTGTGGGTTAGCTTATTGTCCAGATAGTCGTTTAGTTGAACGGTTTAGATTTAATAGTGATTTATAAATTTGATTTCTCTCAGGTGATTTTCTTACCGAGTTCTTCAAGCTTTGTCGTCGGAAGGAGTCAACTGATGAGATACTTGGAAGGTCTGCATTTGAAGAAGATGGAAAAGGTAAAAACTAGAGTTTTACCAACTGGCATTATTTGATTTTTAGTTGTTCCACAATTATTTTACCTTCCTCATCTCTACTGTCTTGTATTCCTGACTTCAGTTTGATCGTTACTCTGTAACTGTTACTCCTAGGCACTTTCTGGAACTGTCAGTGCCGCATAGTAGCGTTTCTCAAGAATTCTATGCGTAGCTTGGCTCCCAAAGTCCCAGAGGAAAATTTTTTTTTCTTATTTGTTCTCTATTGGAAAGTGAGACTTTTTAATTTGATATGTGTTGTACTTAGTTGATTTTGTGGAAACAGATTTTTTTTCTTTTTGGTCTGTATTATTTTCTGTGGTTTTGTATGTTTTTGCAATTCTTTTTCTGCTTTTTGAAGTACTGTATTGTTCCTCTTTTAACAGCTTGTTTGAAGAGTCTAATCTATTCTAGTCTCCTCTCCAATTTAAGGGATTATCTTGTTCCTACCAGATGAGGAAGAAAAGTGTAATACAGCTAAACCCTAAATTATCTGACCAACAGGTTTATCTCCCCTAGTTTTAACAATGTCAGTGCATTTTATAAGAGCGTTACAAAGCTCACCAGCAACACTTTTGAACGGAGACATTCACCTGAGGTGTCTAAAGCGTAACAGTGCTTAGACCATATAAGGTTCTAGACAGTGATTAATGCTAATCTAAAACTCTAGTGTACACTACTTTAACAAGCTTCACTATCTAGAATATATTTGTGGGTATTAATGTATAAACAGGACTTAAACTCTGGCTTCTCCTTAGGCTTATTGCTGATAGGCTGCCTATCATTGTTTTGAAGTATGCAGTACTTGCAGTAGGTGGCAGGCATTAGCTACAGCCAGCCCAATCTAGTCTTCATTCGGCGAAATAAATCAAGGCTCGTTTGTGACTGTTTAATGACCTGATTCTGCTATTTATCTTTGTTGCTAAGAACAGTGAATATCAGATATGGAACCTGATGTAGCACAGGTTAACAGGGTTTTAAGAATCAGTACAAAACAAGTAGTCTGAATATGAGTGCCAAACTTCTTAAAAAGATGATATCGTTTTTTCATTTTATAGAGGTTGCTGATATTACCCATGCTTTGTCGAAACTCACAGAGCCGGCACCAGTCCCAATCCATAAACTATCTGTGACAAATATGGTTCACAGTGCAAAGAAAAAAATTCGCAAACACAGAGGGGTAGATGAGTCGCCTTTAAATAATGAAGTTCTGAATACTATTCTTCTGGTAAGTGAGCTGTTGTCTATGCACATTATATTCACATAAAGCATATTTCATGCTTTCACTAATGCCTTTTTTATAATTCATAGTCTGATACTGCAGCCTAGTGGAATTATAAGTTTCTGATTGATGCAAAACAAGTAGCTTCCATTATTTGAATTGCGTTGATCAGCTGCTTGAAATAATAACCTAGATTATATTGTATAGACGTCTAACAAATAGATTTAAAATGAATTCTGAACTCCGTTAACATTTATAGTGACTCCTGGTCTATAACCAGCGATAGCTTTGTGGAGAAGGAGGCGAAAAGCAGAAAAAAATACGTAAGGTT